AGCAATCAATCATTCCATTCCCATTTCACTCAATCCGAGCTATACTCTTGTTCCTGCTCGCCATCTCTTTTCTCTCTGGGTACAGCCGGACTGTCCAGGTGATCCACCGGTAACTTTGCGAACGTGCAGTGATTGCAGTGACTATCCTCCTCTTTCTCCCTCTATTGTCCTCGGATTCGGTTCCTGAGCTTTCCCTCTCGGAGCCTATAACGAGTCCCCCCCCCGTTGTTTGTAGCTCACGATATACCACCACCCCCCTACTTTGCCAGCCATGGCCAGCGCACAACAACCCCTCTACTCCCACGGGGATCTCCACGACGATGAATCCATTCTGGATGATGACATGATCGAGTCCGACGAGGGTGAGTTTGCATCAAACACGGTGGTCCGGGGACGTCCTTGGTAGGGGCATTCAACAGCTAACTCCCAACGCGCGCGCGCGGTTTTTTTCCCGCGCATCGCGCATTTTTGAAAGCATTAGCAATCGAAGCCGATGATCCCCTCCATGATACTACCGACCGGACCCCGCTCCGCGGCAACATCCAAGGCGAAGCATCTAGCAGCTCACGCGGCGGCGGCGGCGGCGGCGGTGGCAGCAGCAACTTCGCGGGGAATTACCTCACTTCATCAATTCCCGGCGAGGATCGTCGCGCAACCCAGAGTACCATCGACGAAACCGTGTGGGAGACCCTCTCGCGGGACCTGCGCGCCGTGTGGGAGAAGATGCGGCAGGTGCTGTGGCCCAAGTACTTAATCGGCGGCATGTTGCAGCGGGGTGGAGGCGGGTTGGCGGCGGCGGAACGGGGTGAAGCCAGTGGCTTTGGCGGCGGCGTTCGCAATCTGGTGGGCAGGTGGCCGGATGCTGATGTCGTGTTGCAGGGGGGTATGAGTGAGGGGTTGAGGGATTGGGATCTTTGGTACGTCATTTTTTTTCTCTGTGGTTGTCCCCTTGCGCTACGGGAAAGCTGGGAGTGGTTTTGGACTACGATACTAATATTCTTTAATTGGATGGTTAGGGGACCTCTGATTTTCTGCCTGCTGCTGAGTATGTTCCTGTCGATGCGCGCCAAGGGAGAGCAGTCGTCTTTGGTGTTCTCCGGGGTGTTCTCGATTGTGTGGATCGGTGAGGCGGTGGTGACGTTGCAGATTAAATTGCTGGGTGGGAATATGTAAGTTTTTCTGTTTCCTCTTGGGTATCATGTGCTAACGGGGGGATTTTCGTCGATCTAGCTCCTTCTTCCAGTCGGTCTGTATCATTGGATACACATTGTTCCCGTTGGTCATCGCGGCTCTGCTCAGTGCGCTGGGTCTGCCGACCATTGCGCGCATACCGGTCTACTTGGTGCTGGTGGCGTGGTCGTTGGCGGCGGGCGTGAGTATCCTAGGCGGATCGGGAGTGGTGCGCAACCGAGTCGGAATTGCAGTTTATCCATTGTTTGTGTTCTATGTGGCTATCGGATGTCTCTGCTTTATCAGTTGAGAGGGCGCATGCGGGCTTCAAACTGGGTGGGGTGGTGGGAGTGTGGTGCTGAGCAAGGGAGGAACTATAGCTAAGCTAGGCATAGAGGTAGAGGGAGGTGGATGTCGGAGGGGGGGGGGTTGTGTTGTCGTTTCCAGTCGAGGCCGACCATTGAACGGACTGTTCTGGTGTTGTTCTGTTCCATAGTAGCGTTTTCTATCTGAAAAATGTTTGCAGCCAATCTGTCATTTTGCGAATGGGAAATTAATCCCAATAGTCTTGATGATAGTAGTAGAGGGGAAGCGAGCGGTGACGGGAGGGAAGTCAACGGGGACGGACGGGAACCGGGGAGGGCGCCAACACAACAACAGCCCGGGCCATCTCATCTTCCAACTTGACCTCCAACAACAACTCACCCGCTCGCACCTCGCTTGCTTGCTCGCCCTCGACACCGCTGGCTGTCGCTCTCTTCTTCTCTCTCTTTCTATACTTTACCCCCCCCTGGGTGTTCGTTTCACTCTCAACTGAACTCAGCTACCATCATTGCCGGTAGCTCCTCAGCCCCGTCTCGCCCAGGATCCTTCAACACACTTAACTCTCTATCCACGGATCGAGCAGCTTTCGGGCGATCGTGAGCCGGCTCTGACGTCTAATCCACCCTCAACAACCTCCGCGCAAACCCAGAACCCCCCTTAACACTCCCGCTACGAGGTTCGAAGGTTCGATCTTTAGGTAAGTCGTTGGTGGCTCTTCCCCCGCCTATGGAGAGCGACGATCACATCAGGAGTTTCCCCTCCATTCCTTCCTACCTACACCCGCAGCCCAGAAATGCTGCGGGCAGAGAGCCAGTCGTCTCTTTCCCGCAAGCAGACTCAGATAAGCCTCGGCCCTTCTCCTAGGCCGATCGAATTTGGGCTCTGCTGGCCCCGGCGTGCTTCAGCTTTTTTTAATTTGTTCGCTTTGCTGGAAGCTAACGTCGATTTTGCTTGTATCTCAGACAGTACAGAATCTGCGTTTGTTTACGGTCCGGTTTCTGTCCACCACGTCACCACCCGCCAATCGTCCTAATCCAAGTATCCGATCACACACACACACACACACACGCTGCGGCTGTGTCAACTCCCCGCGCGCTTGCTACAATTTAAACACAGGATTCTCTACCTCGATCGAAGATGGCGCCGGAGCAGCAGCATGCTGGTGGGGCACAAGGTACATACTCCAAGCATATTCGACCTTGGTTTCCATATTGCGTGTTTATCCTGACAAGAGATTTTTTCGCGTGTAGTAGAGGAAGTTCCCCAGCCCTCGATATCCGCTCAGGGTAGGTTCTAGCTGGTTCAAATATAGTACCCGCCCGCGAACGACCACTAATCTCTCCTCTTCAGTCGCGGACGACTCCCAAGCATCGGATAACGACGGCGGAGAGCGCCCCGTTCGCAACAAGCTCAAGGAAACATCCATCACCTCGGTATCCAAGGCCGACGACGACGCCGGCCCGCAGGAGGGGGAGACCAGTCGAGCTAGCAGCCGAGGCCGGAAACGGTCTTTCGATGAGGACCAACCCGAGAAGATGGATGAGGACTCGGGTCATCGACGGAAGAGATCGCGCGACTCGAATACAGAGGAGGGGGAGGGGGAGGAGGAGAGCAATGTCGTCACCGTCGACGCGCCGTCGCAGTCCACGGAGGACCTCTCACGCAAGATCCTGAGTCCGAAGAAGAAGCGGAGTCGCGACCAGCTGGATAAGGACGAGGCCAAGCCGGCGGAAACCACGGAACCCGTCGATCAGTCCACCACCGAGAAGGAGGTTGCGACGGAGAAGTCGGCTGCAGAGGGAGAACCTGAGAAGAAAAGACATCGGGATGATTCACAGGAGCGGGAGAAAGTAGGTGTTTCATGAAAAGTTGTGTTCCTTTTACATCCACTAATCCGTCTGCAGGCCTCAATCCCTAGCGGATTTGCTAACACTTCGGCCGTATCACCTTTCGGGGTCTTGGGTGCAAGCAAGCAAGAGTCCTCCGACCCCAGCGAAGCCAAATCATCTTCGGCCTTTGCGGCGTCTAGCATGGCGGCGTTCGCCAAGTCGGAACAATCGCCTTTCGGCACCTTGGGTAGTTCGACTTCCTCCTCTATCTTCAAATCGTCGACGCCTTCAGACTCCAGCAAGACCGCTGCTACCGGGTTTGCATCTGCAGCCGGTGGGTCCGGCTTCGCTTCCCTGGGATCTGGTTTCGCGGGATTCAGTGGTGGCTTTGGATCCGCAGCGCCTAAGAGTGCGCTTACGAGTTTCGCTTCTCCGGCGGCGCCCAGTGTGCTAGGCAGCTCGAAACCTAGCGCTTTTGGTCAGCCGGAAGATGATGAGAAGGAAGGAGAAGCAGAGGAGGCCGATGCTGGTCCTGCCGAGTTCGAGCAGGACAAGACGGACGAGCGGTTCTTTGAGCGACCCAGTAAGTTCAAACCCTGGAGTGGGAGGTCCCTGAGTTAACGTTTGTCTAGTCGAAACCGGCGAGGAGAATGAAAAGACGTACTTCTCGTGCAAAGCGAAACTGTTCCAATTCAGCAATAAGGAGTGGAAGGAGCGCGGCATTGGCACATTCAAAGTCAACGTACGGCTGACGGACGGGGTGGAAGATAAGAAAGCGGCCCGGTTGATCATGCGTGCCGACGGCGTATTGCGGGTGATGCTGAACACGCCCATCTTCAAGGGTATGACGGTCGGCGACGCAAAGGGCCAGCCGCCCAAGTCGAAGCAGATTCACCTTGCCAGTCTGGAGGAGGGCCGATCGGTTCCGCTTCTGTTACGGGTGAGTATCCTTCCACGAATTGACCAAAGGGAAGCATGTGCTAATAGAGTGTGTAGACGGGAAGCGAGGAATTGGCGAACGAGCTGTACAATGTGGTGAAGGACTTGCAATCGCATCAGTGAGAGTCTTTGGGCCCGCGATTGAAGTGGGGATCTCGTCGGCATTCTGGAGACGGGAGAATTGGATTTATACTACCGGCTGGATCTATACATGCTTTGGGATGGGGAGGATTATTGATTGCTTCACACACATGCATATCTGGAGGGTAACGGACCCTGTCTGTGTGGGTAGGAGTTAAGACTTTGAATACCGCGAATAATGCATCTCTTATGTTACTTGACTGTGACTGTTAAGTTATCAGGACCGGGGGGCCAATCAGGCCATTGCACGAAATTGACTACTAGGACGGAACTAATGCTTGGTAGTTAGTGCAGTTTGTTGACGACAGCCAACCTTGAACCCTGTTTTGTTTTCTTCTCCCTATCCTTTGTGATTGTTTCTTTTGTCCTGAGTTGTTTAAATCGAAAGAATTCACCATGCACCGTCGGGACGTTTTTGGGCCGGAGCATTTATTCCTCCATCACCACCATCAGCACCTCAATGGCCATGGCCATGGCGATCATCATCATCTTCACCTCCATCGCACCCACGTCACCGGCGCAATCCCCTTTCTCAACCCAACTCATGCCGCGTACCGAACCACCACCTCATCCTCCTCTTCATCCTTGTCCTCAACCAGCCCAACCCACCCCCAGATCTACCGCCTCTGGCGCTCTCGCGACACGCGCAAAGGCCGCCACGCCCTCCGCATCTCCACCACCACCACCACCAGTAGCACTCCCACCAGCCCCCCTCCTCAAGCCCATGACTCCGCACCCCCAAAGCATCACCACGTTCCCGTGCCCGTGATCACAACACCGCAACCCCCCACCACCCACCCGCGCATCATCCTCGCAACCCTCAAAAGCATGCTCACCACCTTCCCCTACTGGGACCTCTCGTACCTCATCGCCGTCACCTTCACGCTCGGCTCCGCCATCTGGATCGTCAACGCGTTCTTCGTGTGGTTGCCGCTGCAGGACCCCGGTACAGTGTTTCGGGGGGAGGAGGGCGCGGGCGGCGGGTGGACGGCGTTCGTGGGGGCGGCGGTGTTCGAGGTGGGGAGTTGGGGGTTGGTAGTTGAGGCTTGGGGTTCTGGTCAGCCTGGGGGTCATGACCATGACCATGACCATGGGGAGTTGGGGATGGGGTGGTGTTGGGGGTGGGATGTTGCTGTTTCCCCTTCGGACCCTGCGGACCCTGCGGACCCTTTGAGGCACGGGGCTGGGCCCGGGGTGTCGGTAGAGTTAGGGGAGAAGGGGATGGGGAAGGAGCAGAGTGACGGGGGTACTGGGGGTACTGCTCAGCAAGGACAGCCCCCACCCCCACCACGAGGATCAGATACGACTAAAGCGATTAGCAATCTCGTCCTCCGCCCCAGTACGGAAACCTGTACATGTCATCATTCGAATCGGAAGGGACTGTTATCGTCATCGTCGTCGTCGGGCAGGAAGAAGGCCGCTACTGCCACTGCCCTGGCCGGTTTTTCTGCGGGAGCTGCTACTACCACCACCAATACATCCGCCTCCCGCCCCCAACGCACTTCCAAAAGGGTCAACCACTACCTCCACGACCTCGGCTTCCTGGCCTCCCTCGCCCAGCTCGTCGGCGCCACCATCTTCTGGATCGCGGGCTTCACCGGCCTCCCTGGCATCCTCGGGCACATGAGCCCCCCACTGACGGACGGGGTGTACTGGGTGCCCCAGGTCGTGGGCGGGGTGTGCTTCGTCGTCAGCGGCGGGCTGTTCACGCTCGAGACGCAGGAGCGGTGGGATCGGCCCGCGTGGCGGGTGCTGGGGTGGCATATCGGGGTCTGGAATCTGGTGGGCGGAGTCGGCTTCACCCTGTGCGGCGTGTTCGGGCTGGTGGGGATGCAGTATCAGGCGTGTCTGGCGACCTTCTGGGGGTCGTGGGCGTTTCTCTGGGCTTCGGGGTTGCAGTGGTATGAGAGTTTGGAGAAGTGGCCGGTGGAAATGGAGAAACACCACCACCATCATGATCATGACGTGTAAAGACTCGGACTATACAACTCGATTGGCTTCTATAGGGGGGATCTTGGAAGAATATGCTGGCAAAGAAACAGAGACACAAAACAATGTGGTATACAGACCACCCAATCGGAAACAGCAACTCCTTGGAAACAAACCCAACAAAAAGAAAGACTATTGTGTCTTGATTAGCCAACCCACACATCCAATCGCACCACTTCCCAACATGATTGTCAGAATCCACGCGCCTGCGCGATCTGCCGTCGTGATGGGCTTCGATTCTGACGGGTTCTTCTCGTCGGCGCTCGTGTCAATGTGGTGCTCTGTGGCATTGGGGTTGGTGTCGATCGTCTGCGGCGATTGACTGGCCAGCAGCATCAGCTGGGACGTGACGCCGCCCAGCGCACTCATCTGGACTTCAAGTCCCAGCGAGCCGTCCCACGAGGGCTGGTACCAGCGCACGCCGCACAAGTTGCTCATCCCATCAGCCGTACCTGAGCACTGCAATCCAATGGCCTCGACGGACCCTGCGAGCTTGGGGGCAATAAGATCCCTCTTGGACGGCACCAGGATCGCCGTGAACGCCAACCACATGGCGACGTAACCCTTGAAGCAGAGCTGGTTGCGATCGCACGATAAGATCGGTTCGCACGCCACTTCCGACAGAACCGAGCCATTGCCGTAGTTGGTGCTGCTAAACTGGGTCGGGAAGAACTTCGCAAAGGTTGAATCGAGCAGGCGGCTAACGCGCTCCTCCCATACAGCGCTTCCATTAGTCTAACACACATATTAGCAAAATCTCTCAACTTGCCGCCCGCACAGTACGTACGTAGTTGTACATGAACGCCGCTCCCGATAGATACGTCCCGTAGTTGTAAGTCCACTGGTTGTTACCCGCGTCTTTGCAGTTGGCCTCATTGGACGTCGAATCGGCAATGTTCCAGATCGTAAGGTTGGTGTTCAGCAGTGGGGTCGTCGAGGACCAGTCCCAGATCTTCTCCGCCCATTCAGCGTACGTTTCATTCTTGGTGAAGCGGGCTAGTCGGGCTGACAGCTCGAATAGGCCTCCGTTCGAGATGGCGTTCTTCATGGTGTACCCCGCCTGGTACGGCCAGACCTGCCACCGCATGCCTCCGTTGCAGGTCTCGTTATCCCAGCGATTGACCTGCATGTTGAACACGGCGCGTGCCAACGAGGTCCACGACGGTTTGCCATCACGCTCGGGTAGGCCAGCCTCGGAAGCAGTGATCGCGGCCAAACCCCAGAACATTTGATCATCGTTACCCTGTGTTGATATTTATTTAGTCCCGCTCTGCCCAAGGGAACCACCATGCCGGAAAGTGAGGATCATACCAGCCACTGACTGTAATTGGCGGAGAAGAAGTCGTAGTTCTCGCCGGCCTGGAACATCAGGTCATGCGAGACGACCGAGTTGTAGGTATCGACGCCCGACGCCTGCCAGAATTGGATGAGGGTCATGAACATGCTGCCGGCAACGTACCAGGTGTCGGTGAGCTTTCCGGGGATGCCTTCGGTTTGATTTTGTTGGTAGAAGGTCATCATGGGGTCGGCGATGGCCGTGCCGGCAGTCGCGAGGGAGTCTACAGAGCATCGCGGGATGAGCGGAACAATTGCGGTTCATTGAGGGTTCGGGGCACCTACCAGCATCGTTGACTTGGATGTTAAGATTGGCCTGGGCTAGGCTACTGGCCAGACACAGCCAAATTGGAAGCTCGTGAAGGTAGCGCGATAGGGCACGCATGGTGGGCGTGGCGTGTGTATGTCGCCTCGGGGTGAATGTGGAGGAATGTTCAGAGAGGAGGAAAGGGACGGACGACAGCAGCAACAGCGGCAACAACAGCAGCGGCAGCAGCAGCAGCAGCAGGCAACCATCAGGGAAGAAAAAGCAGGTTTGCTCAACTCAGGGGGGTGTGGATTGTTGGACGGACTGAGACGCCAAGGGTGCCAAGGGAGGCATTGGCACGACCAGCCAAGAGTCGTATTTATGGAACATCCAGCGAGGGGGATTGGCATTGGTATTGGCATTATTATGGGGGGTGGAAAGATGCCAGATGGGCAGAAAGAATGACATGCAACCAGTGACCACCGAGAAGGAAGGGACCTGGAAGGAGGGTAGTCAGTGGAAAGTAAGTTGATGGCCATCTGCTCGCTATTATTATTCAGGGACTGGACCCTGTCCTGTCGGTGGCAGTCCCTGCTTTTCCCCGGATCTGGAGATTAGTCGGTAAGTTAGTCAGTACTGACTCGGGCTTGCTGGGCTGAAACCCCTTCCAAAAAAGCCCTGGATGTCTGACAGCCGCCCTCGGATCACAGGGCGATCGGCGATCTGCATAATTGGTCCGAGCTGTGAGACCATTGACTCCCGTGTTGCATTGTGTTAGGGGGGGATGAGTGAGTGAATGATACGAAGATGACTGGGTTGTGATTGAAGATTGAATAATCGGTAAGTTGGGACTCGGGAGGGCATCAGCAAACGATAAGAGGATCGACGGCTAAAGAACGCCCGCTTCCTACTTGCCGTTTCCGGTTAGCCAGATAGATTACAGTGCTCTTTCCAGCTTGGACAATCGCTAGATTGACATCTAGCAATTGGCAATTGTTGGCATTGCAAACCGACAATGGAGGAAGAAGCGTGGTATGGCTTAATTCAAAGATGCTTGAAGAGGAAGGAAGACCGCATAGACAGATATCGACAAAATAATCGAATTGAAAAAGCCATACACATAAGAGAGAGAGAGGGAGAGGAAGAAGACTCAAGAGTACTCCTAGATGCAGCAGTGCCCACGGAAAAAAGAAATGACAAAAAGATTCGACCGGGACGCGACTCGAACGCGCAACCTTTTGTGCCGAAAACAAACGCGCTACCATTGCGCCACCCGGCCTGTTTCTATACTAGCTACGTAAGGCCTTGCGCTATCCATTACACATATCTAGCTCATCAGGCATGCAAAAGCAACATTAGCCTCCTCTTCGCCATAGTATCGTGCTCTCATCTCGACATCAAAGGGCGAACTTGGGCAAGTGATCATAGGACTACCTTATTCATAATAGTGCTTTCTCTCGCCGGAAGGTAAGATTTACCACATGTGCACATGTACAGATATACGAACGTTAGATACACCGTGCAGACCTTGTGTGCATCACTCATCCTCCGCCAAGAAATATTTACATATCACCTGAGTGTGATGTATGGCATGCCATGCCTTAACCAGCAGAAACATTGCCGCCTGAGCAGAGCAAAGAACACACCCCACATGTAATATCGCATCTAGTATATACATTGACCGCCGCGGGGTCTGCAAGTCCGCACCGGTTTCAGCTTCACCTCCACGAACAGGCTCGCACATCCCCACTATCAGCCCCCCTCCCCGGCCTCGTGTACAAAGCTGGGTATCCAAAAAGCAAAATTATATATAAGTCGAGATGAGGCAGGGGAGCAGGACATGTTAGGTATCCCAGCCCAGCAGGTCGATCAATCAGCCCACGCAATGGTCGTTATGAGATGGGGTCGAAATCGAGGAGGGCTAGACACATCTCGCGCTGTTCGCTCAATCACGCCCCCAGTCGCTCGATGTTCCCCGCCTTATTTAATATCCCGAGCCGACCTATATTATGATCGTGATATAGCGTTATAGCGGACTAGCATCGATTCATGTGGGCCGTGCATCTGCCGCATGGGGAACCGAAACCGGACTATTATCACTCTCCGTATCATCTAGGCTGATATTCCAGAACAACGCTTTCATGTCGCGCACATCCTCCCGGAAGTGATCGCGAGGATGCGTGATGCGCTCTTCAGTCATCGCGCGGACCTCGCGAACGAGGTCTGGATAATTCTCGTCATTGGGAAGCCACCAGCGGTCAATTTCCGGCAGTTGCCAGATTGCCGCCATTGCTGATCGGAATCGGGCTGCCACAATATAGCTAAAATTGCGTCAGCACCGTATAAATATCCCACCCCTAGAGATCACTCACCCCTGTTGTTCCAGCGAGGCGAACTTCCGCCGCGCCCACATGATATATTTCTCCTGCTTGGGGAGGAACATAGCCGCCATGCCAATGCTGTTTTTGAACGCCATAATGGCACCGTTCTCCTTGCCTGGCCAACGATCGACTGACTCCATTAGTCGACACTGTTCCAAGGAGAGTTCCTCCAATTCGGTGATTGAAGTTTGACGTAGGGCCAGAAACGACTGATATTTGAACATGGCCTTGGTGGACAAGTAATCAATCCACACGACGTTGACCTCCCACAGAGGGCCATAATGCATGCCGCCTGGCACATATGGATCCACAACATCGTCCTCAGTCAATGGTACACGATGAGGATAATCCCGAACCGTGTACTCGGAATCTTGAAATTGGACCAGAATGCTCCTCATTCGGTCCAGAGTCTGTCCTAGTAGCTCATTTTGCACAATGAACTCGTCAATTGGGATCATGCCACGTGACAGTTTGGCATACAAGGAGGCCATCTCTAGTCCAAATCGACGATTGATTGACATGGCCCAAGCTAGTTGCTTGTCCACATTGCCTGGGTCATTTGCCGCCTGCTGAGCGTCATATTCCTCTTTCGCAACATACCATTCCCGGCTCAAAACCGCTTCGTTACCCGCCAGGATTCCCGCCACTACGTCAAAGCGCGCATACCAAAGAAAAATATGTTGGTGGAGCTCGTTCGTGTTGATTGAACCAGGTGTCAAGAGTTCTCGCATTAAGGCATGGGCCGCCTGGTGATGGTCAATTAAGTTGACCCAGTCTCCGATAAATTCCTAAAGATAGGATCAGCATGACAGACCGTGAGGGAATGATTATGACAAATACGAGTCATACCTCGAAGGTAGTGAGCACTAGGACGGTGGCTAACGTGGCCTCATTGTGTGGCTCACCTGAGCCGAGGGATTTTCGTAAAAGCTTCAAGGCAGTATTATAGTATTTCAGAAACGAATAAAGTCGACCGGTCCCAGTCT